TGCAACATGTTGGAATTTAGGATGCTGGGAAACCAAGCAAGCAGCTTTCCTCCTGGTAAGTGGCTGTGGTGTGGTAAGCTGTGGCCCCTCCAGGGGGAGAACCACCAGCATCTCCTGAAATCTGTGCCATGTTGGAACTTACGATGCTGGGAAACTGAGCAACCAGCCTGCCTGCCTGCTAAGCAATAGTGAGTCTACTGGTACACAGGCTGAGAGTCAATCATCCCACTTCCCCTACCCTCTTCCTTCTGCCCCCCGTTAGCAAATGGGAACCAGAGATCTGAGCATCTCTTGGGAGGTTGACCATAGCAAATAAGAGGGATTTCCTTCTACCATCTCTTTAAGGCAAATATTTTTGTACTGTTTTGCTTTATTCTGATTAATAGTACTGCTCTATTCAGTATTCTGTTTTGGTAAGTTCTATAATGTTCTGTATTTCATTTTACTTTGATATACATAATTGAAAGTACAACTATTGTGAAAATTAAAAAAAATACAAGAGCTAATTGAAAAAAAAAAAAGAAAATACCTTCCAGCCCAGATTGATGTATCCTGCAAAACAGTCTCTAGAAATTGGAGAGACAAGATGCTTCCAAGACAAGAGGAACTGGTGGAATTCACAACCACCAATCCAACTCTATGGAGAGTACTGCAGGACATTCTAGAGAGAGAGAAAAGTACCAGGATTCCAGGAACAGTGGCAGAGAGGCCCTAATGAATGAAACAGTAAGTGGAATGAAGAAGACAAGCAGACAACTAATGGCAGAAAAAGAGCTCAACAGAAATGAGACAGAGAAGGTTGGTTAAAATCTAATATAGATGGCCTTGATACACTAAATTAAAAAAAAAAAAAGAACCACACATGGAGTAGATCAGGAGGTAGGGTCCACTGAGATGCTATTTATAGAGAATATAATTAACATGAAAAAGGGTACATGGACTGAAAATCAAATATGAGAAAACAATGCTCTATGTGGCAGAGAACCAGAGAGTCATAGGGGCAACTAGACCAGTATTTGTGGATATATTGGAGAGATGGGCTTTAATAGGTAAAGGAATACAATTAGAGATCAAGTCCAGGAGGGAGAAGGTTCAGAACCACTTAGGTAAATAGCAGGTCTCCCCCTAATCCAAAAACTGAGGGTGTTGGTGAGACCCAAAAATGCACAGTGCACCCTGGGGGAGTGAAAGGGGAGGAATAGTCTTAAAAAGGATGGCAGAAGATATTGTTAATAGTGTATCAGGATTTAAACCCACATTACTTGCACTGCTCTGCTTAGATAGATTTTATTCTGTCCCAGTTTGTCTATTTGCACTAGATATGAGGGCACAGACAGCTACCCCCAAAATATCAGGATATAGCACAGCAGTCATCTTTAATTTCCTATTAACTTAATCTGAGCCTTGTATAACTTTTACTGTTTTCTCAAACAAAGACTGGTCTTTGTTTGACTATTTGGTATCAACAGATTTTATTCAAAACTGTCATGATTGACAGTATTAAGCCTGAGAGTATAGGCAACTGCACTGAAGATGACAAGATTCACTATGATACCCATTCTGGTTTGATTACCACCTGCTTTTGAAGTTTTACACTATCTACAAAGTTGTGTTTTTTATTAACACTGTTATGTACTGCTATATTCAATTACACTATGTCTGATGATATAGCCAATTCTATTGAGGATAACAAGAGACAACATAGTAACCATGATAGAACTGCCTGTACAGCGGTTTTATGTCTTTCACATTCCATGTGTTTATAGGAATATGTTTTGTTTTGTTTTGCTTCTCCCTCTAATATAGAAAGGATAGAAATACATGTTAAGACTCATGCATGTGTAGACCCTATGAACAGTTTCCGAGAACTGAACAGTTTCCGAGAACTGATCGTATAACACATGATGAAATGAACAAATACTTTGAAGAAAAAGACACTACAGTACCCAGTGCTGATCCCATAGTGTCATGATGTAAAATCTAGCAATACTATTATTCTTGGTTCAGAGTGATTTCAGTCTGCTCTGGTTTGTTTAATCTCAACATAAATGAAGATATGGACAACTGCATGTATAAGTGTATAAGACTGATAACCGTATTAATAGGTTTTGTTTGATAGTTGAACTGTTTGCAGTCTTGCTGTCTGAATCCCCACTTTGTGTTTCACTTTTGTACCCTGAACAACTATTTGTAAAACGACAATACGTAATCATCAACTAGTGATTTCTTAGTTTTTCATTGAAAGTATGTATTATTTCTACGCGTTTTCTGTTTTGCTTATTTTCTTTAAATACAAATTTTTAAAAAAGACATTTAAACAAAAGTCTTCTAGGGTGGGGGGAGATTATTGGACAAGACTCCAATTGATGAGTAAGAAACAGGTGCCTGGTAACATTAACCAGTTCTTGTTCACTGATGACTCCAGTTGAGGGGTAAGAAAGCAGCTGCCTGGTAACATTAGCCAGCGATCTCTAGAGCCTTATGAGACACCCCAATAAAGGTTATTAAAATACATTATTGTGATATGGTCACACTGGTTATAGTCAAAAGATTAAGTTTTCTGGACAATAAGGTTTTGATTTAAAAGATGCTCTGATACAAAGGTTTTCATGTTGCTATGACAACTGTTACTAACCTCATGGCATATTAAAACGCACGAAATGTATTCATGCCACCAGATGCACAAGTCTTCCAAAATGTAAAACAGATTGTTTATGGTGACACTTTTCTTTCAGACAATTGCCTTTAACAAGAACTTATTTGATGTGTGTTACGTATGCACCTATATATTTAGATGCCTAGACATTACACAGTCCAGAAAATGTCACAAATTTCTTCAATGATAGCCCATTAAAGGTCAACCTATTAGGTACAAGTTTCTTACATATTAGATAGAGATGACCGAGTAAAGAAGTTATACTGTCATGATTGTCATGCTACAACATAAAGCTTTTGATTGAAAATTTTCATGTAAAATTATGTAACTGTTATATATTAACATTCTATAGGGATTCAAATTCTAGAACATCTGTGGTTAAAAATAATAGTTTATTTTGTATTTCAAGGAAACCTCTCTTCTGTATGTTCAACAACTGAGGTTTGGAGACCCAAAAATCAGAAAGATAAATGGGCTAGTATTTTGGCCCTGGCCCATTGAGATCACTGAGGACCCCAGACACAAGTGAAACTTAAAAAATATTCTACTACTCTGGAAGTTATAAGAACTCCTGACCAAGAAGACTGTGGGACCACAGAGGAAGGAAATTAACAGTGTATATTGTGCCTAAGGAGAGTCATGAGGAGAGAAAAGTCTTCCAAACTTTCACAAAAAGTAACTAGGTCAGCAATGGCTATAACTCTTCCAGATGGTTGAAAATGAGAGGCGCTATGCATGGTTCCAAGGTAAATCCTGAGGAGATTAACTGATCTTTTTTTTTTTTTTGGTCTTTTTCATTTTTATCGGTACCAGGAATCCAACTCACGACTGCCTGCTTGCAAGGCAGGCACTTATGCTGCTGAGCTAAATCCCCAGCCCCTAGATTAACTGATCTTGATAGCAAAAAATTAATTTTAATTAACACTATGACTTGGTCTTGAACATCAGTGGAAAAGTATAACCACAACAAAAAAACCATATGCAGAGTCCTCCAAACAAGTTTTTCCAACCTCAGCTGACCACCCATTGATTTTACCTACAAACAGAAAAGGCTGAGATGTTGGGAGCAGCTGAGCTGGAGATCGTTCACAAGTACCTGAGCTGAGAGCACAGAGCACCTGAGGTGAGCAAGTGTTTCAGCCGCAAGAACACAGGTGATAGGTGAGTTAGTTGTTAGAGGGTTTCACCTGGCAGCAAGGTGCCACATGTATAAACACACACACTGTAGTCATTGAGCATTTCTTCTTCCAGCCAGAAAGGAGGCTCTACCTTACCTCCCTTCTAGCACTCTGCAACCTGTCTTCATCTCTTTATGCACCACCGTCTGCATTCCAGGGAAGTTCAAGAGCTGTGCTGCATGCGGCACTGCCAGTGAGGTACAGCACTGCCACAGCAAGACAATAGGATTAATGCTTGAACTAGAAACCACTGTTTGGTGCTGGAGACACCCCTCCCACGCCAGCACAAGGCTCTGAAAATCGAAGTGGGAATGTGTATGTGGCTCTTAAACACTGTATCTAGCAGGGCTACAGTGCGACTCTGCAGCAGATTGCTTGCCCAGCACTTGTGAGGCTGCCTTCCATCCCAAGCACTGTGGTGAGGGTGGGGCTAATAACTCAGTAATAGATTGTTCTTATTCTTGACCTACACTTTAGAACTGTGTTGTATAGTGGGGAACATGTTGGGGTGAGGGGAGCTTCCCTGGTGCTTCTCAGCGCATCCACAAAAGGGAAGAGAACTTGCCACACACATCTGCATCAAAGGCCTGTAGGAAAGAAGGGACAGATGATTCAGATCTCATTATCTTCAGAGATAAAGGTCTGAGCCAACCAGGTTACGATGGCTGACAATCCGAGGGTAAAAGGATGGGGTGGGGAAGAGACGCGGAGTCCACCACAGCCCCCAGCAATCACAATCCGGGGAGCCACCCAGTCACATTGATTTCCTCTCTACTCTTTGTATGTAGCTTTTGCATCTGCCACTTTATTATCACACAGCAGCTCACTATCCATACATGGTCCACTGCCACAGCTGGGTTGCCAACTGACGATGTGGCACAGGCATCTCCATCTCTGAAAGGTCCTCTGGTCAATCTCACACATACTGAAGCCTGACGGCCCATGGCTGTCCCAAATCCTCCATGTCATTCTCCAGTCCAAAAAGGACAAATAAGGGTTAAAGGGCAACCTCAGAAAACTGAGTGAGATGCAGAGACTTCCTAGCATCCAGAGGAGCCTGGGACTGCATGCCCCATGGACCAGCAGGACTGGGCACCTTTCCAGGGCTTGCACCCCTGCCATCCTGATGCTGGTAACCTGCGTTAGGAAGGAAGAACCAGCCAGTGTTCAGAATAAAATGTAGCTTTATTACAGCATAGGAAACTACAAGCCATTGGGGTGGAGAGCGCCACACAGGCCCGTAAAGGGACAGGGAGAAGGAGAGTGTAAACATCTTGGTAATAAAATCTCGAACCACAGCACAATCATTGAAATTTGTCTTACGATGTTTGTTCAGCTAGAGTAAACAAAACAAGTCACTTGAATTGTCAAAAGAACAGCAATTTTACACAAGGAAAGCAAATACACCAAGCCAAGGAAGGATAGCACTCAGATACACAGCATGGGGTGCTGCTGGGAGGAGCCCGGGGAGGGGTAGTCGCTAGGTCCTGGGCTACCGTCTATTCCTGGTGCTTCACATGCTCAAATGCTCCCTTCAGATGTCTGACGAGTTCAAGCCCACAGCCCTGTGGTGAAGCTCTGAGATGACAGCTGGCATCTTAGAAACACAAGTTGTCTTAACCTTCTGGTAGGAATGAGGAACAGGGTATGAGTCCCTTTGGGGAAACCTGAACACTTAACACAGGTTGGTTGGCAAACAGGAAAACATTTTCCTGACTCAGTAGCCAGACTGCTACTGAACCCACACCTGCTAAGTAAAAATGTTACTTACAAAGCAAATGCACATGAGCACATCAAATAGAGGACCTTATGCTGCAGGCTGGGCAGAGGGCAAGGTCGATAGGAATGTGAGCCTCTGGCCCAGAGACAGAGCTTAGAATGCCAAAAGCATAGAAGAGGAGGGGATAATCTGGATACAAAAGTTTAAAATGATGTTTATAACAACAAGTGTCTTTTGGTCACTCATATCCCAGAAGCAATGGTGCCACTGTACACAAGCAGGGCAAGCGAGGGGTGGGTAGGGACGGGACGCGGCCTGGCCGGCGTACTTCTTGTTTCACGTCTGTCCCCAGACAGCAGGAAGGCCGGGCATCAACATACTACAAGGGGTTCCCGGCTCCGGCTCCGATTCTTACAGGACAACTTTAATTATGTCTCTTGTCCAATAGATTTGTCCCTGGCATCTCTTCCCAAGACAGAGCTTCTCAGCAGTCACACACACACCCACAACATGGCGGCATAGGGCCAGGCCTGAAAATCTGGGCCCATTCACATTCCTTTGAAGACACTTATTTTAAACCACACTTCACTGTGCATTCTTTAAATGCAAAAATAAAAATAAAAGAAATGAACTGGGCAAGAGCTTACACACTGCGCCTGTGTGGCTCCTCTGCAACCTGCCAGCTCTGACTGGTGCTTTCTGTGTTCACTGCCCACACCCCAAGTTACCTAGCTCTGAGTTAGACTGGTGCCCTGCCTGCCTCTTTGTGTGGCAGGTCAGTGAAGGAGTCTTCTCATTTTCATATAGTTTTTCAAAAAGTCAAGTTTCCTAATGCATGGAAATTGTGTACAAGTCACACTTCATGGTCCGTGAGTGAAGGACTACTGGAACACAGGCATGCTCACTGTTGAGCAGTACCTGCGGCAGAGAAGGTGCAGCCCACAAAGCCTGTATGGCTTGCATCCTGCCTCTAAGAGCTGCACTGCAGACTGGGCTGCAGCTTGCCCTGCTCCCCCAGGATGAACACCCCACAACCCATACAGACATCTCTCACAAGCAGGCACAGAGACACAAGCCAGGTTAGAACTGCATTCCTGCCCCCAAGTTGTCATTCCTCAGAAATGGACAATCTAAGTTTGGGTTTGAATCAAAAGATTCATGCAAAGATACCTAACAAGGAATATCGGCGACTAGGTCTGCTGCTAAGCTCAATCACAAAGTCATTTTATTCCCACTAAAACTGAAACCACTGCAGATGCAGAGCAGGGGCGCACAGCAGGGGCCTCTCAGCTTCAAATCCAGTGCACAGCCACACCTAGCCCTGGACAGGCAATGGGACGACCAGAGAGGAAAAAAGAGAAAAGAGGAGAAAGGGGGGGGGGGGGTCAATGGAATTACCAAGAAACCCCATTAATGCTAGGACTAAGACATCCAATGACCTTTCTGAGGCAGTCAGTCCTTCACAGCCTTTGACACTGTTCCAAGGGAAGCAAAAGGTATGTACAGGGGAAGGCAGGGGAAGAACAACAGAAACAGCACCAGTTAAAAGAGAAGACTCACTCTCGAGAATAAAGAAGGAACCATCTAGATTTCAGTATAAACTTGATAATCATTCACTTCCCTATTATTACATTTAGGAAATTCACTACTGTGGAAAGAGAAAGGGAGGAGTAAGAAAAGGGCTATCCTAGGACACCAGCAGGAGATCCCTGGGCTGATGCTTCCACATGCAGGGGCAGAGCTGCCTGTGAAGCAGCACCTGCAGCCTTGTGAGGCTGCTCTGGAGCTGCTGGACAGCTGCAGGACATGGGGCGAGGACCTCACACTACACACTACCATCCCCCCAAGAGAAAGGTGCTCACATGTTCTCCGTCCTTGAACTCTGTCTCTACAGTGTCAATGGACCACATGTATGGAGCAGGCGAGCACCTTTTCACTCCTCATGTACAAAGGAAGAACCAGGCAGAGGCTGCCCTTGCTGTGAGGACCCTGGACCCCACAGTTTTGAGGAACACGGACAGCTGTGAGTGAGGGCGTCTTTTCCCACTAGGGTATGCGCCTCACTCAGCTATCTCCTCCAAGGCTGTGCAGCGTGTAGCCACTTGGCACCGGCTCCCCAGGCAGAGGGGCCATCCGGGTGAACACTGGCACGGGAGGCGGCGTCACGGTGTCACGGAGTCAGGAAGGCAGGGGGTCATCTTGCGAAGCTTGCCAACTCGTTGCCCTCCTTTTCTCTGACCAGCTACGGGTAAGGCTACTCATATTCCAGGAACTGTTTGTGGTAGAACAGCAGATACCTGAGGAAGCAGAGACAAGTTTCAGTCTAATTCCACTTCGAGACTGCTTGCACTGGGCACAGATGTGGAGGGGGGTGGGGCTCTGCATACATGTGACCTCTTGGTTCATGGTTTTGGTCTTCCTATGTTCGAAGAGGAGAGAGTTCCACAGTGGCTAAGTGAAACTAACCCACCTGCCTATGCCCTCCTGCAAGGAGTCACTGTGGCCTAACCCCATGGAGCACACCCTGCTATTGCCTCTCCTAGCCAGTGCTGGCATGGGATCTACTGATTACTGGGACTACTAAGACAGGTACAGCCCCCATGCCCTCACTGCCCTCCAACATGTGTCCTTTTTGTTAAAACCGAGTGAAGGGTCAGGGTTGGGGGTGGGGGTGTTGGACCCAACTTAGAACTTTCTTGTCCAAATTCTCAAGCCATGGGTCCTGCTGCCCATTAGAGCTCAGCGTCTACTGACACCCATGAGGAGCAGGGGGCAATCCCCTTGGCCCTGGTAGGGTAACAGTTCTCTATGTCCCAGCAAAGATCTGGATAAAGAACTGATGTGCTTAGGGGATGGGGAGCGGCTTGGTGGTAAAGCACTCTCAGGCAAGAGCCCCTAACATCACACAAAAAAGAACTGACGTGCTCAGTTCCCAGCCAGGTTAAGACAAACAATGACTCCCTTGGTCCCTGAGTTAAAAGATAGCAACAAGAGCACTTCTGGTCAGGGATAAACCTCATTAACAAGCTAGTGCTCTATCTAGAACACGTCTTATTACTTCACACTTAAGGTGAGCACTCTGAGTGGATACAAAGGAGTGGAGCTGTTGCTAAGGTTTTCCTCCAGTCCCACGTCTGCTTGAGACGCACCCTTCGCTATCCAGCACGTCCTTGATGCTGGCCTTGGTGATGATGGCATCATCGCATTTGAACCACTGGTCTTTGTGCTGCCGGATGAAACTGGTGTAGTGACCACTCTCCAAGGTCCCTTGATGGTTAACAACAGCAAACAGAGAGTATCTGGTGTGGAGGAAGAAGCAGGAAAGGACAGCTGACTGACACCATCAAAATCATCCAAGCAGGAAGGGCTGCCAACTGACCAATCCAACACCCAGGAAGCTACAGTGTGCAGTGTGCAGGGCACTAGGGCAGGAAGCTGGGCATGGCTCACTCTGTTCCCTTCCAGGTCCAGTGGCTCCTGGTACCACACATACTTGGTGCAAGCGGTGGTAATCATTAGTGGCAGAGGTGATAGTTCCCCTTTCATACAAGGCAATCACAGATGGAACATGATGACATTAAACACAGTGATGGAAGCAGAGATTTCTGGACAAAACCTCACTCACAGCAGAGGGTTGGACAGAGATGAGCTCCCACTGGGAGAGACAGTTAAGAGGGTGCTAGATTATCTGGGTAGGACTTTTGCCTCAACCAAGGGCAATAGGATGCCTGTCACAAAGCAGGTCAGTGGTCATGAGACTTAAGAATGCTGCTGGTGCTATTGCTATCTGTGTTGATCCTCCAGGGCAGGTTGACCCCTTAAGCCCCACCCAGGATTTCGCAGCCACCCACACCACAAGCCCCACATACTTGTTGTCATTATTGAGACTGTCTGTGGGCTGCTGGTACTGCCCATTCATCCTGCTTTCTTTGCTGTAACAAATAGCAATGGAACTCAGAATTAGTTAGAATTCACCCAGAGACCCAAGGCTCTAATGATTACCGCCACTATGCAGACACTGTGTAAGGAAATACTTTATATGCTCTGCTGTTCTTCCAATAACTCTATTTTAGACAGAAATGATCCCCATGTTTTGATAAGAAACACGAGGCTTGGGCTGGAGAGTAAAGCCCTGTAGGAGGACAGACTGGCCACGGCTCTGGGCCTCACCGTGTCCCCCACCCTATGTCACGGGTGCCTCAGCAGCTTCTGAGCCAGCTCTGTGAAGGTGTTTTGTTGTAAACACCATAGGGTGAATGTATTCCTCCTTCCAAGGTGGAGGATGAGTTAAATCCACTCAAAATCTTCAAAAAGAACAAAGATTCCTACTGTTTCTTCCATTACCAGTGCCTCTGGTACAATGGGCAGAGAGGCTGTGCTGGAAATGAGAAGTTCCAAGCTTTAATAACTTTATGCACTGCAAATATTAGTAGAAGACATTAAGGGCTCAGTGACTCTGTAAGACCTCTGAGACTATTCTTTCAGCCAGTTTCACTAGCTTCCTGGACATGTAAAGTCAAGGTTAGGTGGGCTTACTTCCCAGGGGTGGGCTGATAACCCAGAGTTTAAATTCCGATGATCAGATTAGACAGTCACCTGTGAATCACAGGGACAGGGCCACCATGGGAAAAGACACTGTGAAGAGATCAATAACAGATAATGTACTTGAGATGGTGCAACAGGTTGAAATTTGGCCCCTAAAAATGTTTGCATCTCAATCCTAAAACGGTCTTTGCAGATGTCAGAATGTTGAGGAATGATCTTGTTGGATTATCTGGGTGGGCCCTAAATTTAATGACAACTACTTGACACAGACACAGGCTCCAGAGGAGGCCCTGAGACCAGTTAGGGTACTGTGGCCACAAAAAAGATCTGGCGCCAACAGAAGCTGGAAGAGGCGAGGAACAGGACTCTGCCTGGACCCTCAAAGTTGAGTTCTCTCAACACCTCCACTTCAGATTTCTGGCCTCTATGACTGTGAGAAAATAAGCTTCTATTTTAAGCCAATACATGTGTGGACAGCTGCCAGAGAAATAAACACATTAGTAAGCAGCATGCTCTCTTGGAGGGTTAAATTTTAAGGGATCTATGATAATGAAGATTTAAAAAACAGGAAAATGAAATTTATAACTTCAACTATGTTTATCTGTATTTTGGTACCAGGGATCGAACTTACCACCTCATACTTGCCAGGCAGGCACTTACACTGCTGAGCTAAATCCCTGGCCCCTGTTTATCTATATTTTAAAATCCATTCCCATCAGCTGAAACACTGACTTCTCAGTGATCTCATCCAGATGAGAGTCTACATTTAAAAGCTGATAAAAGATTGTTACAAAGGCCAGGCATGCTGGTGAATGCCTGTAATCCCAGCAGCCAGGAGCTTGAGGCAGAAGAACTGCTGAGCTTGAGGCTAGTCTGGGCCACAAATTGAACTCGAGGCCAGCCTTAAGACACAGCAAGATCCTGTCTCTAAATACATAAATAATTGAAATTAAAAAAAAAAGATTTCTAGAGAAAAATTCAAAGCATGAGCTATCTAAGGAAAACCAACGCACTCAAATGTGTCTTGGGTTAAGATCAAGACAATTAATGAGACTTTGGACAGTGAGTTTTATATCACCAGGTAGGCCTGCCTCATCCTAGAAATATGGTTCTGGGTCAAGGCTGGCCTGGGATATCCCTTACCCCCAGATATAGGCTGGAAGCAGCGCTCTCCTACCTGGAGGCCATGAAGGGTGTCATGTCCAGTTCCAGGGGAAAAGATACGTATGTGGTGATCTTCCGCCTCAGTTTGGCTGAGTGCTCAAACCGCTAGACACCGAGGAGGGAACAGAAAGAAGCCTGAGCAACAGCTCACAAGGATAAAACAGTGTTTCCATGAGTGCTTCTCTGAGTTTCTTGTTTTTTTTTTTTTTTAATTTCTTTTTGGCCACATCTAGAGCCTACAGATGCAACACAATATTAATCTACATAAATTTGATTTATGGGGTTCAAGTCAAAGTCTTGACAGGGGCACAGAACACAAACTTCATAGCAGAACTCAGGAACGTGCTCACAATATACCCATGATCTGTGAAAGAAAAATAAAAGTACTATTCTTTCACCAAAAAAGGCATTCCTCAGATGAAATCAGAGGCCACCAAATCCAGCTATCAAGCTAGGAAATCTTTTTAAAAAGCATTTAAAGTGATATTAAGCTAAAGAACATGCCACAGAGATGATACTTGGCTCCCCAACCTTCCAGAGTTCACACTCTAACCTTCCTAGAAAAAGTCTGCAAAATCCTGAACTAGATCATGATGCTAAGGATCTTTAAGTAAAACAGAAAACTTGGGGAAGAGGAAAATTTGGGAAGTAACAAATCCTTCAAAAGCACTTATTCTGGAAATGGCTCACATTCTATACTCATCAGGAAGCACTTTTTGAAGGGGGGCAGTTAGCACCATACACACCTCTCAGTGACAGAGACAAAAGAAGGTATGAGCATGTCCACACCAACTCTGACGCTGCCTCGAGTCACTGGCTAGCTGCAGCTGGTAAGGTTGTTCTATGGACCACACACTGGGACCACCATGGAGCTTGCTTTCTGGAAGACTTACTTTGAGGTGAAAGCAGGCCACGATGGGCAGCTTCTTCATGGTGAGCTGCTTGGTGGACTCCTGGTAGCTATGGCAACCACTGCACTTGATCTTGGCACTGCTCCCTAAGTGCTCTGGTCTGGTAAATCTACGGGCATTTAAAAATCCAGACTTTAGGTAAACAAGATGGGAAAGGTAAGGGTCAGGATAAAAGAGGACAGGGACATTTTATCACTTCTTGGGTTAATTTCCCTACTAAAAAACACATGCCCATGGTCAGTTTCATAATCAAAAAATGAAAAACTATTTTCTTTAACAAATACTTATCTTGTGCATTTTGTTTAACCAAAAGATCTAAGAAAATGATAGTAAGTTCCCAGCTGCTATGTGCTAGCATTTCAATTTGTCTCAGAACAATGGAAACTTTACATTTACACAGAAACTCTATGCTAATGTTTACAACTGTCTTACCCAGTACTGATTAAAAAAAAAAAACAAAAAAAAACAAAAAAAAACTCTTACAGAATAGTCAACAACTAGAAACAACCCAAATCACATATAGTAGGTGAATGTTTTTGCACAAAGTGTGGTTCACCATCCCATAGAATACCCACTAGAAATCAAAAGAAATGAACTCCACAGCATCTTGGCCTTAAGATGGGTGGGAAAAGTCAATCTCCACAGGTTGTGTGTTTCATAATTTCAGTTACAAGACATTCTGACACGTGTAGTTTATAGAAAGCAGTTCTCCATTGCTATAGTGAGGCAGAGGCAGGGATAGTGGGGGTGCGGGTAGTTGAACCTAGGAGAGACCCTGTGGGGACAGAGATGCTGTGCCTCCTAATGGCGTCACTGTCAGCACCCTGGCTGTGGCATGCACCTCTGTATTGCAGGGTGGCATCACTGGGAAGCTGAGTATAAGAAACACATGAGATTTGTGTATCTTACGAATGCATGGGAACCTACAATGACCTCAACATAAAGGTTTAATGTTTAAAAATTTAGATGTGTAGAAAAATGGTAATTCTCTAGCAGTGATCAGAGATTGTCATAGGAAGGCTGTGTTAGGTAAGTCAGCAAGCACTTTTGGCTCAGGTGGTAGCTACTGAAGATAAACTACAAAACAAACATTATCATATGGTACATGCCCAAATTTGAAATTTAAAAACAAGTCTTGCCACAACCAGCTATGTAAAGACATTGCTTAATCACTGGAAATGCTGCCATCTCCCCCAGGGTAGGAAAAGGGCTCTTCTGACCAAAGGCAACCTGCCTGATGACTGCTTTGTGTCAAGTCTCAACAGGACATAAAGCAGGACCCTTTGCTTGTAAGCTGGAGATGGTCACAATCACTGTCCTCGCAGCCTCCTGGGGCTGCCACAGCAGCTGCCTGTACAGGTTAAGTCTATGAGGTACAGTCACTGTTACCAAACTCATTTTACTGAAATTGATGACTAAACTGAATCATAAAGACTCCCTTGGAAAATGTTTTTGGTTGTTTCTTTGCTTCTTTCCCAAACTAAAACTTTAAAGCCCCATTTATTATCTGGGCCTAGTAGTGCAACAAAACTGGTGAATTTAAAAATGCTGCATGTGCAACTCTGGTCCTGACTATGCAGTAAGATAAACAAGGAAAAATTTGCAACTCTTTCAAGTAGAATTTCCACTTGGCAGGGGCTCTTCTGTAGTGACTCTTATTAATGCAAGCGACAGTGTCCTAACCCTTACTACTTGTCTAAATCAAAGACATTGTAAAAGAACAAATTAAAAAATGTCAGTGAAGACCACCACATGTGAATCAGTCACTTGCAGACAATGCCACACACACAGGGACTCAGACCATCTCTTAGTTTATATTCTGGTGTAGGTTATCGGGCACAAAAGAACAGAAGCTTCAAGTTTTGTTCTGTGGTTCTGGGCTCACTTAGGTGATGGCCAGTGAAGAGATTGGTGGCTTGTGATACAGATGTGCTACCATGCAAAGCTGGTGAACAGAAATACCTAATCATTGTAGCAGAAAAGAAAAGTAGTTCAAGCTCCTGAGCATCCATTACAGCCAAATGCAGGCTGATACTGTCTTCTCAGAGATGTTTCCTGGATTTTAGAAAAAGATACTGCCCTGGTCTGGCCCTGAATGTAAGACTTTGTGCTGTCCACTCACAAGTTCTCCACAGCCCACTACAAGAAAGACTCAGCCTTCCCTAAGCAGGGGCCTTACCTCCGCAGGCAGTCCGTCAGTGTTGTGGTGCCCGATGCGTGGCTTTCCCCGTTGACCACGCTACCCTCGCTCCCTGGGCTTAAGGGCCAGAACGGGGTGGAGGAGCCAGGCAGGTCTAAACTGATGTCCCAGAAGGGGTCTATGGTGGTGGAGACGCCACTGCAGAAAAGAAAACAAGGACACAAGAGGACTATTTGATGTGGCTCCAAGGCAGCCCATGTCCCAGTGACACCTCAGGCTGAAGTGATCACATGAGTAGGTCCTGGGGTCCCAAGAAGGCCTGAGGGAGAGACATGTATAACCCCAGTAAGACAAAAGCAGCTCCTTAGGTATTTGTAAACCTGGGAGATCACCTTCATTCAGGGACTTCTGGAAGAGTATAAACTTATGGAGTCGGTCCAGAAGCCCTGAATCCACAGATCTAGAATTGGGCACTGCCACCCCAGGTGGTAACAAACCCTCATGCATACATCATGCCAAGCGTGGACCCACCAGGTTCAGCAGCCCCTCGGAGCATGAAATGCAAAGTTCCACAAAGCCAATTCATGTCTGGAGGTTTAATTTACAATCGTATTAAAAGAGAACTCAATGGGATATTTAACAATGGGAAATTTGCCACAGGTACTGAAACCAGCAAAGGGCTCTGATCTGCTCAGGGCCAAGATGCAAAATGACCTCTGCTGCATAAAAGAAAAACAAGCCAGATGTGGTGATGCAAGCCTGTAATCCCAGCACTTGGGAGGCTGATGCAGGAGGACTGCTGCGAGTTTAAGACCAGTTTGAACTATACAATGAGACTGTCTCAAAAAAAACTATTAAACAAAAAAACACAAAAAACTATGACAGTGGTAGCAGAAACTTTTTCCCAGGAGCCTGCAAAGACCGCAGGTGGCAATTCATTACAGACTCTGAATAACTTTCATAGGCTGTAGGAAACTGAAGTGTATTAAAAATACCAGCAGCTGGGTGGGTGAGGGTTGACTTAATGGCCAAATAGATCTTTGTCCTGGTTCTTAAGCTTGATGTGCTAAGCAGAGACTACATCTGGAAAGAACTGAGGACACTACATACAAGGAAAGGAAAAGGACACTATAAAATCATAAAAATTAATAAACATAGAAGCATATATGTAAAAAATCTGCCATCAGTCATCCATTCCTTCCTATAAGAGTTACTGCGTTTGACTCCAGGTTCTGAGAACCTACAATGCTGTGGTTGTTTAAATAAAACAACGACGCTTCTCAGCTGGTGGCTGCTGCAGATGCTGTGCTGTAAGAGCCCAAGAACCCTGAGACTCATCTCTAAGGAGTGTACTGAGTATGCTCTTAGCTCAAGGATCGACTTACTTACTTACTACTTTCTTTTCTTTTCCCCTCTCTTCCCCCACCTCCGGTCCCCCCAGACGGGCTGATTCTGCAGGCTGACTGTCTGGGGGCAGCACTTACTGGCAGACTTGGCAGGTGACATCGGACTGCAGCCCACCTGTGAAGATCTGGTCGATGATGCAGTTGCAGTGATTAGGGTTATTGGCCTTCTTCCCATTGTCATCACCTGGAGGCAGAGGAGGAGGGGTGTGTAATTCGATCTATGAAACACCTCATTAGCAGATGCAAAATCCCCCCATTTCACCCCCAAGGCAGAAGAAGCCAGGTAGGCTGGCATTCTGAGAAGTCCATAAAGATGTGTGATCTCAACTGACACTTGACAGAGGAGCTCATCATTATTCCACTTTGATGAGATATCTGAGAACCTGGGTTTCCAATGTTACTTTTTTTTATGCGTAAGATGTCCTTAACAACAAAGTACATCTGATGCCTGAGAACTTGGGAGTTAAGGTTACTGATTCCCTTTCTCATACACAGAATTAAGTGAATAAAGAGCTTTCAGGTTAGTCTAGCATGAACAGATATGCTAGGAAACAACCTCTATCTCCCTGCTGATGTGATAAACTGGTCTCCTACTTCCAGGGAGTCTTGCAACTCTGGCTCTCCTTCCTGGGTTCCTGCATCCAGAACAGCTGTAACTCCCTGTCGGCCGAGGGTTCCTGCTACCCCTCTGTTCACTCAGCATTTAACTTACACATGAATGTACAGCGAAGCAAGTACAGAATTAAGTAGTGAAATATCATACACGTCTGAATACGTATTCTATAAAATGTCTGTGCAAACTAAATGAGGAGGATAGAAAGCACATTCATCTGAATGCAGATTACAATCTGAAACAGAATTATCACAAGAAGAATGTCCTCTATAGCTGCTGCCCAGAATTTAGGGAAAAATACTGCCCCAAAGGACTTCAAATTCATAGGACAAAATGTTAGGATAGGAGAAAATACTGTACCTACAGAAAGGTGCAAAGATGATCTGGAAGACACCCTGAATGTGACCCTTATGAACTGTATATAATGAAGTACAATAGGGCCCGACAACTGTGGGGTTTTGTTTGTTTTGTTTTTCAATGCTGGGAATGGAACTGAGCCCTCATGCAAGCCAGGTAAATTCTCTATGGCAAAGCTATACCCCTCCCCCATCACTGTTTTTAAAAATAAGTGACATTTCAGATATTTCAAAATGAGTATTGTAGCTGGGCATGGTAGCACATGCCTGTAATCCCAGCACTTGGGAGGCTGAGACAGGAGGATTATTGTGAATTTAAGACCAGCTTGGGTTACAAGTGAACTCAAAGCCAGCCTGAACTGCATAGTGAGACTCTGTCTCAAAGAGACAAAAAAAAAAAAAAAAAAAAATAGTAGAATATTGTCAGACTCAGAACGCTGAGGCAGGAGGATGGTTGCAAGTTCAAGACCAGCCTGGGCTACAAAGTGAGTTCAAGGCCAGCCTGAACTGCATAGAGACTCTGTCTCAAAAAGACAAAAAAAAAAAAGAATATTGTCAGAAACAGTCAACAATGGTTTTGCTTTTAGTTCCATGAACATTTTTTTTTTTTAAGAGTCTCACTATATGGTTCAGGCTGGACTTGAACTCACAGCAATCTTCCTGAGTCTCAATCTTCCAAGTGCTGCAATCACAAGCATGTGCCAAAAGGCCTGGGTACTCTGCATTTTAACAGCAATGCATCTTCAAAAAGCTTTTACAACAAATTTCCAGTGTTTCTTCTGTTTCAAAGGTGTTTGGGACAATTCTTTCATAGTGGCTCTTCTGTTTCTGTGTTATATTACCACACCAGAACACCGAAACTTATTTAAACTACTAGGTAACTTTTACTTGGTTCCTAGGGTAAACATTAAAAAGTCCATGTATACTTCCAGAAGAAAAAAATTTAAATACCAATAAAGCAGAAGATAAAGCATGACAGTCAGTCCAAATAAACCATCTGATCTGCATGTACTGCTCAAGACGGACATGAGACCACGTGGCCACCTTCAGCACAGTCCTAGGACTGAGAGGTACTAGAAAGCCAGCTGCTTTATTCTTTAAAAGACACCAATTTAAAAGAAAACTGGAACTGAGTTTGGTGGTACACACCTATAATCCCAGGACTTGGAAGGCTGAGACAGGAGGACTGCTGTGAATTAAAGACCAACCTGAACTGTTTAGTGAAATCCTATTTCAAAAACAAAAACAAACAAAAAACACAACAAAACAAAAACTGGGTAGGAAAGTGCTGCTTACAACTAGCTGTAGATAACTACAGATACCCATGGGCAGCCCACAAATAACCAGCTAACTCACTACCTCAGTGTTCTCAGGTATGGGATGGAACTTCATGGTCTCAGTATCACTGATGACCTCAGTAGGAGTAAAAATCCTGACTCCTCCAGATCTACTGAACCACACATGGGGAGTAAAAAAGCCTCAAGCTGACAACCAAGTCCAAGTTGAGAACCGTCCCTTAGTCTCACCTACAGGTCATCAGAACAGGCACTCCATGAGGGAGACAGGGTTCAGGTCATTTCCTCTGAGTTTCCCAACTACAGCCCCAGGAGCTGCTGTATCCCCAAACTACCAACCCTCAAGGGGGGACCATCCCTTGAGACCAAGCTGTGGGCCATTACTGGAAGACCAGACACCAGGTTAGGGGCGCAGCAGCAGGGCTTATCTCTGTGCTCTGTCTTAGCCCTCTGCTCCAGAATAGCAACTGGTCCTTCCGGAGGTTCCCCAGAAAAGGATGGTGGTGATGATTAGTAACACTCAAAAAAGCCTCAAGTCTGGTAACCCAGAGGATCCACAGAACAGCCACAATAAGCAGAGAGCTCAAAACATGATCCGGCAGTAAGGGTTGTAAGATTTTGCTGGTCACTGTAACAGACCACAGAGTACCCTACCACCATGCTGTTCCACCCCCAGCAAGGACAGAGGACAACACATGAAACTTTCCTCCTCTTAAAAACAAACTATGAAGGGGCTGGGGATTTAGCTCAGCGGCATAAGCGCCTGCCTTGCAAGCAGGCAGTTGTGAGTTCGATCCCTGGTACCGATAAAAAGGAAAAAGACAAAACAAAACAAAAAAAAGAGAAAAAGACAAAAAAAAAAACCCAAACAGACAAACTACAAAGAATCTCCATGAGACAACAAGCACAGCATTTCTGCTACTGGAAGGAAACAGGATTATACCGCCTATAAAACACAAATCAAACATGTCCCCTGTTTGCACATGTAGGCCCACTTACTCCTTCACCTTGTTCCCTTTCCAAAGAGAATTCCTGCGTCCACCTCAGGTGAAGGCCACGCACCTTTGCAATGCCGGTGCAGGACGTCCAGTGCTGCGATAAGAAACTCATGTGCGTCCTGCTGTTCATAGCCTGCCAGGTGGCGCGCGTGGGTCCACACCAAGTGCAGCAGCTTGTATGGGATGTGAGGAGACCTGTGCCCGGAGTAAAACTGCAGAGAAAGAAGAGGGAAAACTTGCAAACACGGTGCAAAATACCTTCTCAGGAAGAAGACTCACAATCCTAAACTACACATTTTTTTTTTAATCGGTACTGGGGATCGAACTCACGACCACCTGCTTGCAAGGCAGGTGCTTATGCCGCTGAGCTAAATCCCCAGCCCCGCTAAACTACAAATTTTAAGAATAATCATGAATAAAAATGGCATGGTAAGCAACATGCTATTATTGATAGCTAGAGGTGTAGTTCAGGGGTAGAATGCCTAGTTCAAACCCCAGCACTAGGAAAAAAAGTCTTAGATAGCTTTATTCTTTCAGGTTCAAAAAAGGTTCACACATTTGGACTCACTGACAGCAACTGGCAGCTGTTTACAAAGAAGCAGCGTGAAAGCCAGGAAGCAAGACTCTCAAATTCTTCTTCAAACAGGATGAGTCCTTTTATATGTGTGTGTGTGTGTGTGTGCGTATTTTTTTCTTTTCTTTTTTTAGTTTCAGAGTTTATATTTTTAAGACAATGAAAGGGGAGAGGTGGGGAAAAGTTGTAATTGAGCATTCCTAATCTAAAAATCCGAAGTCCAAAATGCTCCATCAGCTGGAATGTTCTGAGCATAGGATGCATTTTGGAGACCTCGTATTTTTGGATTAGGGATACTCAATAGTAAGGTCTATGCAAATACTCCAAAATCCACAGCACTGAAATATGAAACACTCCTGGTCCCAGTCATTTCAAGTAAGAGATTTGCAGCCTGTGTGTCATCTGGTAAAAAGAATTAGGAGCACATATCAATCAACAGGTGGGATAAAGAGGCTGAACCACACTAAACACACTGATCAAGAAGAGTAAGGAGCCCAGTCACCCTAGGGACTCACTTTTGAAAGTTTTAGGCTACTACAGAATTCCTGTAAACATGTAAAGCATCTAGAATAGATTATGTAGTAGAAAGCCAACAAAAAGGCCAACTCTGTAAACAAAGAGCAAAACACTTCCCTGAATGTATAAGAATATTCTCACAGACTAATGAGAATATTCTCACAGTCTAAAAATAATCAACACAGGTTAAGTATCCCTTACCTAAAATTCATGGGACCAGAAGATATCAGATTTGGGGAAATCTGCATCTGTAAGTATACAATAATTAAGAGTGGGACTTGTCTAAACAAAAACTCAAGAGTCTGAAAATAGTCTCAATATTTTAAAGATTCAGTACATGAAGTAAAGCTTGTGTGCACTGAACCATCACAGGTCGGGTATGGAATCTTTCAGTTGTGGCACTGTGTTGATACTCAAAAAGTTTGGACTTTAGAGCACTGTTGATTCGCAGATTAGTGCACTGAACACGTACTAGCAAAAAAAACCAATTAGAAACTGCAACTTAAAATCATTCCATTTATAGCAACACCAAAAACATGAGATAAACAATATGTGCAAGTGTTACATACTGAAAACACTGATAAGAGAAATTAAAGATCTAAATAAAGATGAACAAAAGTGCTAATTGTCACATAAAAATCTGCAAACAAGTACTGTGGTTTTATCCTTCAATGCCAAAAACTCAAACCCACCTAAGCTGAGAAGTGGCCAACCACAGTGTGATAGGTACTACTCAGCAACACAAACCTTTCACACAGCACCTTTGGAAAGGCATGGCAACAGAGAAAGTCAGCCTCCTTGAAAATGAGGTACACAGAGGCCAGTCTGCTAACCTTCCTCAGCTCTAGCGTGGCAGACAACAGAATCGTGAATCACCAGAGTTCACCAGCGTTCACGGAAACTAGTGTCTTCCACCAGCTGACCCTGCCAAGCACCTGTGAGAGGCTCTCACCTTCTCAGTTGGCAGCGTGCCTCCGAAAGGCAGGCCTGGAGTCCCTTACCTAGCACTTTCTTTTGGGAAAACCATCTTCTATAATAAGTGCACATTTTAAATATTTACTTGCTGATAAATTCTGGAAATCTTTCTGCCCTGGGTATGGTCAACTGTATGGTTTTTAAAAAGGTGGAAAGACAGTAGTTTTCGAGTCGCTCCACGGCAGAGCTAGTAGTGCCCACCTCCTGAAAGAGCGAGGACATCTCGCAAACCAGGCAGGAGCTAGGGCTCTGCATCTCGCAGTGGTGCCGGTCAGACAGGAAGAAGTCCCGAAGGAGCGGTGTGTGGGTCAGAGCCTGGACAATGCAATTCATGAAGCACGTGTTTCCAAGGTTGATCAGCCCTCGCAGACCTGGGCAGAAAGCCAGACAGCAGGTGTCACTTGTGCACTGAGCTACGACACATAATGCTGGATCCCAAGGGCTTTAGGTCTGTGTAATAAGTCACTTTTATTCATGCATTCAAGAAAAAAAGGAAGAGCAAGAAAGAAATGCAGTATTTTCTCATTTTTCTTCCCAATGTCAGGGATTAAGCCTAAGACCTTTACACTAAGCTACATCCCCAGCCCTTTTATTTTTGAGACAGTGTTTTGCTAAGTTACTCAAACTAGACTTGAACTTATGGTCTCAGCCTCCCAGAGCATTTTCTAATTTGTACACTATTTTTATATGAACTGTATTGAGGAATGTTCACCACCATCAGTCCCCTCCCATCTAACCACTGCCTGTATTTTCTAATAAAAACAGCCAGGTCAGAATAGAGACAAAATGTTCTTTTAATGTTCTAAAAAAGATTTACTCATTTCTAAGAATATGGTGCAAATATGCTTACACACAGACACATCATTTCTTTACCTAAGATCAACCTGGCCAGAATAAGAATACACGTGAGCCCTATGACACTGACAGATGCTCAGGACCATGGGGCAAGGATGGTCTCTACTCATCCCTCTGCACCCCAAGCCCATGGTGGTACCCATGAAGAACAGGTGCTCAAACTTGGATGCTGAGCAAACTGATAATGGCATACAGTTAGGCGGGGCTAAAAAGAATCGTGTTGTATCATGAAGTCCTAAGAAAGAAGCCTAAAGTGTGTGAGAAAAGAACACAGCTCTATGTGACATCCTCCACTCACCTATGGTACAATTGGAAGTGATCTTCCTCCTTTTTGGGTTGTGTTTGAGCAGTTCTAGCTCCCGTTTGGTTGGTTCCCAAGTTGAAAATTTCTCTCCAATACCTGAGCAAATGAAGGACAGTTCCAAGTGCTATTAGCTAAATTTTCTTTTTAAGTGTGTTCTAAAACAAAAGTTGTTATATACAATGCACTAGGCTTTGAAAAGAGGGGAATCCATAACATCAGGACTTTCTCTTAGCAAGTGTCTTAAGAATACACCATGTTTCCTGTCATAAGGAAGAAACCATTACCCAGCTAACAAGGGAAGCTGATGGAAAGCATACTTTTGAGCAAACTAAACAGATCCAGTCGCTGGAAAGCTATATGCTATAAAGAACTGAAACAGAAGACAGCAATGATGCATACGCTAACAAGAAGCATACACACCCTACTCATTGAGGTTCTTGTACCATGGTCCCTAAAATGTTTGCATAATTTGGTAAACTTGAAAAAAGATAGCATCTCATAGAGAGATGGAATTGCAGAATGACCTGAGAAGAATTCTATTTCAGCCGGGCATGGAGGCTCATGCCTATAATCCCAGCACTCACGAGGCTGGAGCAGGAAGATCTCTATGAGTTCAAGGCTAGACTGAACTACATAGTGTATTTAAGGCCAGCCTGAACTACAAAGTAAAATCTTGTCTCAAAAAAAAAACCCAAAACAATACTGCCAGGGATGTAGCTCAGTGGCACAGTGCTTGTGAGTTTGATCATCAGTACCATTAAAAAAAAAAAAAAGAGCTCTACTTTAGTCTGGGATGTGCATTTCTTAGTCCCATAATTTAACTGTCCTGCACAAAGAAATATACACATATGTAGTTATACCATCATTACATTTTTGAAGGGGAACACAATAGAAAATACAAGTTGGAGATTTTTTTCCAGAAATGATCTCATGAACATGAGATAATTCTAACCACTGAGAGAACCAGTCTCTATTATCTGTTTTCAAAAATTGGGGGGTGTTTTCAAAGAAAAACAAGCCAAGAATCTGTAATGCAGGGAGCAGGTTTTTGGGCTCCCTTTGCACACAGTGATGGGTCTTACTGCTTGAGAGAAGGTGCTCACCCACTACCTAAGGCTAACCACAGCCAGGACCTTATTGCAAACCACTGTGTGTGTCTGTGGGGACTGAAAATGAAGAAAGAAAAAAATCAGGGAAACCAAAAGGAAATAAAGAACGTGGCTCACGATGCTGGTGCACCTCTGACTCTGCACAGCTAACAGAGTGCGCGTGAGGAATGAGAAGGTAGCACGTGGGCAGCCCAAATGGGCACCCCAGCCACAAAGCTCCTGTCAGCAGAGCAGGCTCAGTGCTGGGCTGCTCCACTTCCTATTGGGCAGTGTCACCTTGCAGACAGATCTAGCATCATCCAGATGGTTCAGCACTTCACAGGGTTCTACAATTCAATTGGTAAAATACTCTACCCTCCTGGAAGGAACAAGACACAATTACATTTAACATTACTGCAGAGAGAACACTTTCTGGAACACTGTGGTGCTTTGGGTAAACCACTCTTTGGGGATTTCCTGGTTCAAGCATCCATCCCCAAGATGAGATGGAAATGTGACCCCACTAGAGCTGGACTGGATTCAGCTTCAGCCTGCAAATGTACCCTTAACTGAAGAGGGGCATTGTTTCTGGAATGCAACTTTCTTGACTTCAGCAGAGCCCCTCCAGGCAGTGCTTAGGGCACCTGCATAGCCCACCACTCCACCCACCTCTGAGCTTTTCCACCAACTGTAACCTGACCTGTGCAAACATACCTGCTGACTCTCACTCTCACTTGGTTTTTGGTACCATCTGCCCTAAACAGACCTGAGAGACTGTAGGATTAATGTACAAATCAGGTAAATAAATTTAGGCAGAAGCCAACCTTGCATTTTAGAAGCCTTCTGCTGCTCCTCTTTGGCAATTATTTCCATGTCTTTGTCATAGATGTAGTCCTGGCACAAAAAGCAATATATGCCTCCATACGTAAGGTCAATGGCTGCAAAAAGAGGACCACAGAGACGAAAATTTAATTCAACACAAAGCAATAATACTTCAGAACTCAGAAACATTTCAAAAACATTGAAAATTCAACGTTAAGTTGAATTTTCTAACTGAGAATGATATTTAAAACACGAGTGAAACGCTACTGAATATTTTTGGTTCCTAAGGATTCCAGTGTAATAATGCTTTACTATATCTGGAATTCTCACACTATCACAAAAAAAGAAGCCAATAGCTACTTGCTGCTACTTTTGCTGTTGGGGACTCCGACTCTAAGGTCAGAGGTAAAATTGTTCCTACCCAGACTGCCCTGACTTCTTGGCCCAGAGCTGCTTGCTACCTACCAGCACACAACTCTTGTGCACCTTCTGTCTTTTTCGTTTTTATCGGTACCAGGGATCAAACTCATGACCGCCTGCTTGCAAGGCAGGTGCTTATGCCGCTGAGCTAAATCCCCAGCCCCTTCTTGTGCACTTTCTCAACTGCAACCTGTGTAAAACAGGACCAGTAGTATCTTGGCTCTTAATTACTTTAACCTAATGTCTCTCCTTTGAGCACCTAAAAGAAAGGTACTTTCCTAATTCAAAATTAAAAAGAAGAGCGGGATGCACTGAAATGCAGTTATGGTTTATGTCTGGGTGTCTCTCCCCCGCCCCCTAAAGCCTTATACAGTCATGGACAGGGCTGAATCTGTCACTTGTGATTGGTTCATTGTCTAGCGCTGGGATTGGTGGTGTGAGTGCTGCACTCACCCAAGGGAGGGAAGGAGGCACGCTTTCCTTTTTATTCTTTTCACTCTTGTTGCTTGTGGCTGCTATGAATGCTTAAATCTCAGCCATGCCACCCTTCCTTGGAGCCAGCTGATTATGGACTGAAACCTCCAAAACACTGTGAGCTAAACAAACTTCTCCTTCTTTCATTTTGGATATCAAGTAGTTTGTCTCAGCAATGAAAGAATAACCAAGACATTTACCAAGCATCATCAGACACATAGGAGACAATGCAGCAAAGAAAGGAACACAGGCTGAGCTAAGAGTTAGGGCACACACCTGTAACCCAGCACACACTCTGGGAGGCGGCAAGAGAATCACAAGTCTGAGCCCAGCACTCCATGACTGAATGAGGCTGTGTCTCAAATTTAAAAAAGAAAAAAAAAAAAGGAAGGAAGGAAAGAAAAAAGGAGGCTAGGGATGTAGCTCAGTGCAAAGTCTCTGGGCTTAATCCCTATTTTAAAAAAACCAAACAAACAAAAAACCAGACTGACAGTGACTAGAATTAATACTAACTCTGCTGCTTGCTAATTACGTACTTTTCCTAAGTTATTCCATTTCTGTAAGTCTCCTTTTCCTTTTTGATAGTAATAGTATCACAACTCATAATGATATTAAATTAGTGCATATAATTTAAGTAGGCCTTGTGATAAACATTTTTTAAAATTCAATTTTATGGTAAGAAGTTGTCCCTCTACATCTGTGGGGACAAAAGATCCTCTCAGATACTGAAATCTGCAGATATTTAGGTCCTTTACCTGAATGGTGTTATAGTCAAATATAACCTACATACATATTTATGTATAATAATCATCTCTGATAAGTACCAGGTAAGTGCTATATAAACAAATGTTACGCTGCACTGTTTAAGAAATGATGAAAAATTGTGTCCACACATATTTAGAACAGTTTTTCTCACAAGCATTTTCTACCTGCAGTTATTTATGTGATGCCAGAGATGGAAGGCTAATTTTATTTTGTGTCTTGAGTTACTATGACTTAGATCAATCACTGGTGGATCATTAAAGCCCTCGGAAGCAGATTTACCAAAACTCAAGACAGCAATACAAAAATCCCACAGGCATATTTTGCCATCCTCAAAAAACTGACAAAATCCTAACGAGTTGGGGCTGGGGATTTAGCTCAGCAGCATAAGCGCCTGCCTTGCAAGCAGGCAGTCATGAGTTTGATCCCCAGTACCGATAAAAAAGAAAAATACAAAAAAAAAAAAAATCCTAACGAGTTATCTTGTAGTCTTCCTTAGAGCTGTTGCAAAGTACTCAACCAGCTGACCCCTGGCAGGACACACTCCTCAGGAGCAAGCTCCTAGCATGTGAATGGTGAACAAAATTTTGTCAGATCAAGATGACTTACAGTAAGAGTGATGGCAATTTTCAAGAAAGCAGATATGTTCAAACAATATAGCAAGCATACAGCTGACAACAAAAAACAGTAGCCCACAGAAGGTGTTTAAAAGTCTTCCAAGACTAAATGCTTCCTCAAAATACTCTTGTACAGCCTCATATAAAACTTATAAAAACCAACATGCTGACAAGGATGCCAAAACCACAGGAGGAAGAAAAGTCTCTTGTAAATGGTGCTAGGAAAATCAGATAGTGACCCACAAAAGAATGACGCGGGATCCTTATCTCACACCACACACACTAACTCAAAACAGACACAGACATAAAGAACTAAATCTGTAAAGCTCTTAGAATAAAACACAGGGTAAATACTTACGACCTAGGATTTAGCATTGGATTCTAAAGCTTTAACACAAAAGTATGAACAAAAGAAAAAAAATGTAACATCGAACATCTAAACTAAAAGCTTTGTGTGCTGAAAGATAGCAAGAAAGCAAAAAGAAAATCCAGAGAATGGGAGAATATCTGCAAATAATTTTTCTATCCAGAACATATATACACACATAACAATTACAATTAAAATATAAGCAACAGCTAAAATTATTATTTCTCTAAACACATACAAACAGTCCAAAGTATACATGAAAAATGTCTGACAGCTTCCACATGCCCATCTCATGAGATACGGTTCACGAACACATTGAACACATCACGTAAGACAGACACCTGTGTGCATTGAGTCACCTCAGTTCTTTCAAGCAAACCATGTGAAGAACACACTACACTGCGTGTTAGATGTGGCGAAACCCGCGGATGGACACTGTGAAGCTTTTCAAGAGACATGAATTTTTGTAGCACCTTTATAAACTTGTGCCATTTAGCTTTCGATTAGGACTTCTTAGGCTTTTATTTCCCAGAGAGCATCAGATTACAGAATTCTGGGGAAAGAGGTCTAATTTACAATTGCTTGGCCCACATAAAATATTTTTCAAACCAAGTTCTATGTTTGCAACTCTTTCTTTTTTTTTTTTTTTTTTTTTTTTTTGTCTTTTTCATTTTTATCGGTACCAGGGATCGAACTCACGACCGCCTGCTTGCAAGGCAGGTGCTTATGCCGCTGAGCTAAATCCCCAGCCCCGTTTGCAACTCTTTCAACAAGCTTTTCTGAAGGACATCGTAAGGACTTCATGAGTACTTACCCAAGCATGGTATTGCTTAATGACTGTTAGAAAGTAAAACAAGAATAAACTTAAGTTTCACATAACTTCAGACTATAGGAGAAGTTTGAACTTTTAAGTATAAGAAAGGTAAGTTTGCCTTGATGTCACACAACGTTAAGCTGGTTTTTCCCACCTGTTTTTGGAAACAATGAAAATCCACTGCTGAAAGCAATAAAATTTGCCTATGTACACTCAACTTCATGGTGGTGTCAATGATGTGATACAGGTGTCTTTCACTATGGGTTGAATAGGTTGGTCCCAGAATTCTCCATAAATACCAAAATCTATAGATGCACATATCCCTTACATTCTCCCACATCCTTCGTTTCTAGATTATTGTAATACGTAACACAATAGAAAAGCTGTTACCTTACTGTTTAGGGAATGACAAGAAGTTTGTACTGTTCAGAACACACGATGTTTTCCGTGACTATACCTGATCTGACATTAGTTGAGTCAGCAGATGTGGAACTAAAGGCCAACTGTACTGTACGTAAAGTCTCTTTGCAAATCTGCCCAATCTTGGTCCCAACTGTGTGTTTAATGGAAAACATGAGGGCCTGACATTCATTATGTGGCAGAAAAAGCACAGTGCTGTTTGGGGACTAAGAAAAAAACCTTCAGGGAATGAGGAAAGAACACACCCAGGTTGTGCCGCTTTGCCTTGGCATGTTCATGGATGTGCTTCTTTGTGAAACAGCCGAAGAAGACGCAGTAGAGGCAGGAGTGCAGCCGGTTCAGGTGCACACCACACACGTGGCAGACGCAGGACTTGGCCTGAAATTCAGAGCACAGGGTTAGTAGTGTGCAGTGCAAGGAGTTCTCTCGGGGAAACATCAAGCCAAGGATGGAAGGGGAGGAAGGAGACATCTTTACCTTGAAGCCTTCCTCCTCTAAAAGACTATTAGTTTATTTTTCCAATTCCCCTAAAGAACTTTATTTAGCTCAAAACTAGCTCCATATAAGGAAACGGTGGCAATCTTAACCTCCACCAGTAAACTACTGGGATGTCCACATCACATTCTCCTCAGAAGTGCCATCCCCTCGCTAGGACAGCAACTCCCATCTAGCCATCCTTAACCTAGTCACCTGAGGCTTCACAAACCAGGTTCCAAAAGTATAGCAACTTAAGAAGCAAAATGACAAAAGCAAAACCACAAAAAGGAAAAGAATAGGGTATGAATCAAAGCAATATACACAACAAAACCTAAGTTTACTGCTGGGTGTGGTAGCACGTGCCTGTAACACCAGCACTTGGGAAGCTGAGGTACAGATTGGCGAGTTTGAGGCCAGCTTGGGCTACACAGTAGTTCATGATCAGCCTGAGCTATGTAGTGAGAAATGTCTCAAAACAATGAGCTTATTATCAAGAAACAGACTACAAGGACCCTGGGAAACCAAGCAAGCAGCTCCCCTCCCTGGTAAGTGGCGGCGGTGTGGCAGACTGCAGCCCTTCCAGGGGGAGAACCACCAGTGTCTCTTGAGATCAGTGCCATGTTGGAACTTAGGATGCTGGGAAACCAAGCAAGCAGCTCGCCCCCCTAATAAGTGGTTATGGTGCGGCAGACTGTGGCCCTTCCAAGGGGAGAACCACCAATGTCTTCTGAGAGCCACACCAAGTTGGAACTTAGGACGCTGGGAAACCAACCAACCAGCTTTCTTCTTTGCCAAGAAATAGTGAACCTCCTGGTGCATGGCCTAGAGTCAAAACATCCCACTTCCCCTATCCTCCTTCCCCTGTCCCCCCGTTAGCAAATGGGAACCAGAAATATGAACATCTCTTGGGAGGTTGACCATAGCAAATAAGGGGGTTTTCTTTCTACCATCTCTTTGAAGGCAAATATTTTTATTACTGTTTTGCTTTAATCTGATTAATGGTACTGCTCTATTCAATATTCTTTTATGATAAGATCTATAATGTTCTATATTTCATTTTAATTTGGTATACTGATTGAAAGAACAACTATTATAAAGATAATGAAATATACTGTGATACCTATTACTGTTACCCCAGTTGTGAAGTTCTGTACCAGTTTCACTACACGGTCTCAGTTGGCTTTATTCTGTCTTGTTCTGTTGTATTTTAGTACTTTCAAAATTTAAAAAAAAAAAAAAAAACAGACTACAGAAAACTAAGATTCAACTTCAGCCACGTATGGAAAGAGAGACTAATGTAGGAACTCGCACTGGGCAATCTTAGCACATTGTGACCCTAATCATCAACAATAACAAAAATCAATTATTTACACTGAACAAAAAACTCACATCATACTAAAATTAATACCAGACATGAGAGCTATTCACCAGCTCTTTAGGTCTTCTAAATAGCAGAATTCTAGCAATTTTAGTGGTCAAAAAAGAAAAACCTTCACATTATAATCATTACAGTAATAACTAGTTCAAGCAAAATTCATCAATGGACGTTAAATGTAGGGTTTTTTTTTTTTGTCTTTTTCCTTTTTATTGGTACCGGGGGATCAAACTCACGACTGCCTGCTTGCAAGACAGGCGCTTAGGCCACTGAGCTAAATCCCCAGCCCCCTAATGTAGGTTTTAAAAAAAGTGACTTAGTAATCCATAAAAGTCCATAATCATGGGAACTGACCAGATATGGATCAACTAATAAATGAATAAAGAAATTGTGGTGTAAACACAACAGAAAATGGAATGTGACACATCTTGAGTATAAAATAAGGCTGGGGAATTCCAGATGAGAATCTAGAGACATGAAAAAATACAATGCATGATCCTGGGCTGAATCCACAACCAAATTCAAATCACAGATAGCATAACTAGAATAAATGGTACTACATTTGGATCCAGAATGTGCCCCAAAGGACTATGTGCTGAAATAGTACCTCGGTTTGGCACTACTGGGAGGTGGCAAACTGTAAGAGGTGGGGTCTGGTGGAAGGTCTGTAGGTCACTGCAGACATGCCCTTGAAGGGAACTGTGGGATGCCAAAGGGCCTATCTGCTCTTATGTCTTCAGTTGTGAGGTGAACAGGTTTGCTCCACCATACACTCCCATCATCCTGTGCTGCCTTGCCAGTTTCAAAACAATGGGGCCAACCAATCACAGATGGGAACCTCCAAAACTATGAACCAAAAAAATCTTTCACTTAAAATTTTTTTTCTTCAATTTTTTGAAACAAGATCTTGCTACGTAATTTAGGCTGGTCTTGAACGCACTGTGTATCCCAGGTGGACTTCAAACTCAGAAACCTTCCTGCCTCAGCTTCCCGAGTGCTAGGATAACAGGCATGTGACATCATGCCCTATGCTGAATAAACTGGATAAGAACATACTAGTGTATTATGAGCCTATCTTTCTGTTGGGTAGCACTTAACAGCAGCACTCACTTTATTTTTTCCACACATTGTAAAGACATTCATGAATGAGGACGTTATGAATATATCAGACAATTTCTATTTTCTATTTTAGTGTGGATTGCTTTATTGGCTGGCTTTTTCATTAACATTAGGAAAAGAAGCTATCTTGGTTATGTTGAATCTGTCAGTCCAGCAAAATGCATCTTCACAGGCTACTGATAAACTACCTGCAGCCGAGTGACCATCTTCTTACCATCATCTAGATCCGTACACTGATAGTCACCCAATGTGCTGTTTCATGTTTGTACATTTCTTTGAGTTGGACCCAAAAATCACTGTACAAATGAGTTATCAGTTCACTGGTACAAGACTTTTCTTTTTGGGTAATCTCTTATGGACTATTTTATGTGCATTGAGATTATGTCTCTTTAAAAATTTATTCCATAGAGTATCAATAGAATTTTGAGATCTCTAACTCTTGCATATAAACTCTCTAATTTTCCCTTAATTCTCTGTAACCAATCAGATTGTTGCTAGGGTGTTGCTAGGGTGCTGGCATAGGCCCCTATAGATGGGGCTCCACTACAGGAGCTAGGACCGCTGAAGCTGCTTCCCAATCTGGCAGGCAGGTTTGTTTCCAGATTGGCTTCTGCAGAGGGAATATGGCCCCTCAGCCAGCAGACAAGTAAGACCAGCTGCTGACCTAAGAGCCTTCAGACCTTTCCCTGTCCACAGAGAAAAGAAGCATTCTGCAAGTGGGTAGCCATTCCTAGAAACTCAACCACTTCTGGAGCCCTGGCAGTGACCTCTGCATGAAAGCCCTTTCATCCATACATTAACTCAAGTAGATTCACAGCCCTCAGGTAAACCTTGAAATGTAAGTGAGATTTGTATGTGACTGGAATAGAAGAATGGAATCAATAACTTAACACCTGTAGATCTTACAATACAACTTTGGTCCATTAATTTGGTCCTAATATTGAGAATAGTCTTTTTTTTTTTTTTTTGGTGCTACCGGGGATCGAACTCACAACGTTGTGCTTGCCAGGCAGGCGCTTATGGCACTGAGCTAAATCCCCAGCCCCAAGAATAGTCTTTTGACTACTCTATTCTTACCTTGTTTAATACTTTCTCCCTATCCCAAGCAAAACAGGACAGGGACAAGAGGGACATAGCCTTTGAAGCTGAAAATGTGTAGCCTTACATCAGTGGACTGACAACTTATTTATACAGTGATTTTTTAAGTCTAGCTCAAAGAAACAAACATAAAACATCATATTAAGTGAGATCCCACATGAGTCATACACCCACAACTCCAAGACAGTGAGTTTAATTCTTATGCATTCTCTTCAATGACTAACAGGATCTCATCTCTTAAAAACAAAACAAAAAAAGCACCAATGTGGATGCATCAAAGGGACACAAGATTTGGAAGAACTCTGAGTAGTAAAGTTAGAACAATATGAGCAACAAACAGCACTAGATTATATCCCAAAGTATAAAATAGGCATCCATGAGTCCACACTTACACAAATGACTAAATACATACATGAGAATGGACAATCTCCCACATAAAAAATATTCACACACTGTATGGGGCTGCTCTGCCTGGGAAAAGTTACTGAGCTCTTATGACACTATGGCCTGTGCAGAGTGACTGACTTCCATCCATAGAGGACAGTACTTCGAGGAAAGAAAGGGTCGCGCCTCAGAGTGGTGAAGCCAACACAAACCACAACATATAGCCGTGCTCCATCAACAGTGCTAAGACACCATGATGGTACTGCCCTTGAGAAAACAAGAAGAAAAGGGTACTTGACCTCTGTGGTCTCCCTCCCCACGTCCTCTAACCACAGTTGAGCCACAAGAAAAAGTAGATGAGCCCAAACTGAGGGCCATTCTACCAAATGCCTGTACTCCTGGCTATTGGAAACAGTCTAATGAATTCACCATCTACAAGAGCCTAAGAGAACATGATGGCTAATGTAATAATGAGTCCCAGAGGCAGAATAAATTTTGTACATCAGGTAAAAACCAATGAGATCTCAGTGAAATATGCAGTATAGTTAGTAATTCATCATCAGTTAATAATTGTGCCAAATGTATTCAAGTAAAGATTAAACTGGAATGGGGGGGAGTAGGATATTCTGCTAAATGGGGAATAAGGCTTTGAGAAAGTGGTCTAATTTCAATTAAGTCCTTAGGTTTGCAGGACATTAATTTCTCAGTCACTAAAGAGAATGCTACTATCTTCTCTACCAGTGTCCACAGAATGATGACTTCTACTGCAAAGATACAAAAATGGAAGCCAGGCCATTATACCCTGTTTTGATACTTTGTTGTTTGCTTTTTGGTTGGCTGTTTGTTTTGAGACAAGGTCTCACTGTGTAGTTGAGGCTGGCCCCTCAAACTCATGGCAATCCTATCTCAGCCTCTCTAGCGCTGGGATTATCAACATCCACCCCCACATCTAGCTCTGATTTTCTCTCTCTCTTTTTTTTTTTTTTTGTCTTTTTCCTTTTTATTGGTACCAGGGATTGAACTCATGACTGCCTGCTTGCAAGGCAGGCACTTATGCCACTGAGCTAAATCCCCAGCCCTGGATTTTCTCATTTTTGACCGCTGCTGCCTATACATTTGATGTTTCCTACATATGAAACTGCATTTTTCAGATGCACTACAGGTTTAATGTCTTGTTTAGTATTACTCTTTCTCTAGAATGGTTACCAGAGCAGAGTATGGTGGCACACATCTGTAATGAGGATTGCTAGTGTAAGCCCAGCCTAAGCAACACAACAAGACCTTGTCTCAGAAAAACAAAACAAAACAAAACGGTATGTAATTCAGTGCAAATGCCTTGGGTTCAACCCCCAGTACTGCAAAAATTAAAATTAAAGATAAAAATACACTGATCACCATGCTTAAGTTTAAGAAAAACATTTCTTATCTTGCCATTTGCCACCTACTATTTTATAATGTTGAGTTCTCAACAGTTTAGACTCTGAAATAAAGACAGAAGGGGAGATTCAAAATGATACACACTCAGTCCCTTTATTCCAAAGGATTTCTGTTCTTCTTAAGTAGTGATACCAAGATTGCAAATACAAACGTAAGTATTTGCATAGAGTGTGAATTCTGGATACTTGCCGAGGTAAGTCTTTCTCTGTAGCTCTTTTTGTACACTAAAAACTTTTCCCAAAAATTTTTATTCAAAGAGCTGACTTAGCTCTCAAATTCTATGCCTTTGAAGCCTTCCTCCAGCTTATCACCAAAACTAATCCAGAACTGCTACTGGTCCAAAATTACTACTACTAGTATGTCTGACAATCTTTTTCACTTCTGTATTTGGTGAAAGTACTCAATGTTCTACAGCTCCAGAAAGGGAGCTATGCTTTGATGGCAAGCTGCCATAAAATGAGTCAAAAGAGATTACTTTAAAACATTACTGTTTCTCAAAGTGCCTATAAATTCAAAATATAATGTAGGATATGAAAATAACTAGAACTGCTATTACAACCATAAACTACTACACTTCTTTTTGTAACCAGTTTCTATCTTTAGGCATGAACTCCGAAGCCATGAGAAAACTGTTACATCTAACATACCAGAAATGTAAAGGAAAAAGCAAACACTGTGGGAATGCGGAGTCCTAAACATGTTTACTTTAGCAGTGACTTTCACTGTAATTCATGCCTAATTGGTGCAGAAAATTACCAAATCTGTTTTTGTCACATTCTGCCTATCAAAAGAAGGATCAAAGGTTGGGTATCCAAACCACACCTACCTCTCCCCAGGGATTCATTTCTGTGGTTAAACTGTAGCTGAACATGTCAATTTAGAAATGCACTTTTGCTCCTTTACAAAGACTACAATATAGGCTGGGAAAATAAAATCTATGGAAATGCACTTGCCTTAGCATGCACGGAGGCCCTGGCTTTCAATCCTAGCTCGAGGCTTGGGGGAGAGGGGATAATTTAAATACTGTTACACTTAAAGTCAAATTTGTCTTCGGCCTATAAATCTGCTGGAAATTCTATGCAATAAGCTAAACATATATTATTCATTGCTTGATCACCAAGACTAAACTCTATCTCGAGCCAACTCTTCCTTAGCCACTACAGTACACTAGCAATGTAGTTACACCAGACATGATGTGATTCAAGAAAATGACTCCTCAAACCAGTGGAGTGAAAAAATTGATTCAGACTCATTGCTGGTATATTGCCAAAGGGCAGCGCATACCTGACAGCCCTAAGTTTTGAGAAAAATATTTACCAACGCCATCCATTTCTCAAACTCTTACTAGAAAACAATATAGATGTGGTTCAACGATCCAAATTTGAAAGTAAATAAGTTATACATAGCAACTAAAACAAAGGTAATCTCTTTCTTTAGGAAAATTACACAATCAAGAATGGCTTAAAAGGCGGGCGTGGTGGCACATGCTTGCCTACAATCCTAGTACTCCTCAGGCTAAGACACGATAACTGCTGCATGTTCATGACCAGCCTGGGCTACAAAGTGAGTTCAAAACCAGCTTGAATAGCAAGATCCCCCCTCAAAAAGACAAAAGAATGGCTTAAGGGGGCTGGGGATTTAGCTCAGCGGCATAAGCTCCTGCCTTGCAAGCAGGCAGTCGTGAGTTCGATCCCTGGTACCGATAAAAACGAAAAAGACCAAAAAAAAAAAAGAATGGCTTAAATTTGACTCCTTTAGTTTTGTTAAAAGTTACCGAGAGGGGAGAAAAAAGGGTGGGAGAAAAGAATGAAAGAAAAGGAAAGAGGGATATTCCCTACTTAATCCTATGTAGAAATGAATCTTGTATCTCACGTCTTAATTTAGGAGCTAACACAGAACAGCAGCAGACTATCACCTGTAGCTGCACATCAGTTACAGTCTGGCATTTTTTTTTAAAGGTACACAAATTCATCAGCAATAATCTCAGCCTGATAGTAAAAAATTACATCCAACCTGACTTTAGTTCATTCTAAAAGGTAATGAGCATCATCACTGATAAAATTTAAATATTAACACTTAAAACGGCCTACAACCCCAGCGGATGCAACCGAAATGCAACTGTAGGTGCAAACTTCTTACAACCCCCAATTTTGGTGTGTCATCTGCAAAATCGCGTTTAAATTTATGCAGACAGAAGCATCGTTTTGATTTCCAAATCATTAACAAGCTTAATTGTTTGGATGTGAGAATCTAAATATCACTTTCTTAATGGCTCCTAAAGACTCATAGCAGAAAACACAAGCCCCACTTTCCCATCAGACTCATCTTTTAAACCCACTCCTACGTAGATAAAACACAAATCTTCAGTGGTCGTGGCGACGCGGCTCTCCACCGCGAGAGGACTCCCTTGGCTTCCACCTGGCCATCCGCTCTTCTACAGCTGAGATGGAGAAAGGAAGGGCTGTCACAGCCCTGGGTCCGTCCCTGCAGATTCCTAGACTTGGGGGGCGCTCTGCCCAATACGACAGACAGCATAACGACCACCGCCCAGCGCGGAGGCTCCGTACCCCAGGGCCGGGAGCCGAACCACAACATTCACGGATGGACACTTTGGGGCCACGGAGCCTCAAAACCGCGGCAGGACTGACAGCCACAGACCCCCGCCGGCGCGGGCCGGTCTCATTCTCTGCAAGCCCAGAAGGAATCTGCAAGGGCCGTGCGCTCGCGAACCGGAGACCCTGCCCACAGTCCCAGGCTTGCCACACAGACCCCGCCCACCAGACCACCCGTTACAGTCCCGTCCCCGCCCTGAGCCCCCCGAGAGGGAGGAGCCGGGGATGGGAGGGAAAATCCCCTCCCCCACCAGCGGGCGCGCGCTCCGGGAAAGCGCCGGGAGAGCGGGCCTTTCCTTCCTTCCCATCCCGGATCCCAGCCCCCGCGCGCCGCAGAACCAGGGGCGCTGGGGGCCCGGGGAGTCGCACCTTACGCTTGCGGGCCTCCGTGGTGCCGCTCCACACGAAGCACTGGTAGATGGCCCGCAGGTTCTGTTTCCAGTTGTCCACCTTGAAGCTGCCCAGGTGTGAGCAGCCCGGCGGCGCCACCGCCAGCTCGGCGTCCATGGCCTCGCCCTCCGACTCCGGCCGGGAAACCATGGGGGGAAAGGCCCGGCCGCGCGCGGGGGCTGGCGGCGAAGGGGGTGAGGACGACGCCAGCGCGGCGCAACTGCTCGAATGCGCACACGGCAAACCGAGACACGGACGCCGGGAACAAAGCGCGGTGGCCGGGGCGCGGGCGGACAAAGACAGCCCTGCGCGAGCGCCGAGACAAGGCGGCGGCGAAGCAGGCACCGCCCCCGAGCTGCGGCCACCGTGGGCCGCCAGCGCTTCTCTCTCCCGGTTCGCGGAGGTGGCGAAGGCGGGGCGACGTGGGCGGAGATTACGTCACCCTGGTCGGGTGGGCGCTGCGCAGTGCGAAGGGTTTGGGGGGCGCCTGGCCCCGCCTTCCCGCTTCCTCACGCCCCGAAGCCTCTCGGGAGACTCGGGAGGTAGAGCGGGTGGAGCCCACAAGGCCCCGCCCATGCACCTTGCAATTGGTTGTGGGCCAGCCTGAGGCCGCTATGATAGGCTGGCTGTACAGTCATTCTGGTTCAGAGCCGTCCCCGAGACGCTGGCGTCTTGACGTTCCCAGTCTCTCACTAAGAACTAAGGAGGTAGGGGCTTGATGTCAGTCAGGGCGCAGAACCGGTTTACACCGGCTGAGCTCTGCCGCAAAGAGGCGGGGCGATGGGCTGGGGGCAGTGCAGTGTCTACAGTTAGTTCCTTTGGCAGCAGAATCTCCTTCTGTGGGGACTTTCTGCAAAGCCTTGCCACTTTTGTAGCCTGTGTCGGGTAGGAATGTGCCACACCTCTGGAGTGTAGTGGCCAATTAGCAGCTTGGCATTTCTCCAAGGACTCAGGCTGCAGTTCCTTCCCACCGGGCTCCGCAGTCTGGTGAAGGTCCAACTCAACACTCTTCGGTTAAAAAAAGGATGCAAACCAAATAAATGGTTTTAAATTTTGTAATAGATACTTAAAAAAAAAAAAAAAAAACCTGAAACTGTAAGCCAACAGGTGAAACTAATTTTAACAAGATAGTTTAGTTAACCCGTTGTGGCTAGAGTATCATTTCAACACGTAAGCTGTATTATAAAATTGTCACTGAAATATCTCACAATCTTTCACAAGTAGGTCTTCCGAAATCTAGTATGTTAAAGCACGTCCAATTTGTACTGGCTACATTTCAAGTGCTGGTAGCTACTGTTGGACAACCACTCCATAGGTTCAATCCCCAGTGCAAAAAAAAATTTGTAAGTCACAAGTAAATACTATGCTGACATTTATGGGATGAGAATACTATGTAACGGCATATACTAAAGATCAGGGAAAAGTCTGGGGGAAAATAACCAACCTAGCGGTAGCAGTTAATTTCTAGTAATACAATGTGACAACTTGAAAAGTTTAGAAGTTTAAAACAGTCAGTAGGGAGCCAGTATTCTCGATTTGCGATTTGTAAATATCCTCATTGCTAGGAGATTTTATGAACATTGCATGAAGTGGGTAGCCTGTAAGTGAGGAAAAGAGACTTTTTCTTCCCCCATTTTTGCTCTGGCTGCTGCCTTGAAGGGTTGCCCTGATGTCACGCCACTCTGCCTTGGAACCAGCTGAGTATGGACTGAAATCTACCCAAACTGTGAACTAAATAAACCTTTCCTTCCTTAATTTTGGGTATCAGGTATTTTGGCCCAGCAATGAGAGAAAAATAACCAAGACAAGTAAAATTCTGAGGAAAAAAACACCAAGCTAGCCAAAACAATTACTATCTGGTAAGCCAGAAGTAAACTTAGCTAATTCTATAAACAGTATTTTCATTACAGTCAGAATCATTCTTTCTTTTTTGGGGGGTGGGGGGGTGATGTGTACTAGAAATCAAACTCAGGGCCTTGCACTTGTTAGGCATTTGCTGTGCCAATGAGCTGTATCTCCAGCCCCAAAGTCATATTTTATACCTTAAAATCTCTAAAAATAAGAGGAAATAACAAACTTACATGATATAAGTGAGCGCAAAGAAACTAAAACCCAGAGAAAGTGATCAAGTTTATGCTGTCTTTTAATATCTAAAAAATAGTCCAAAAATTTCATTTAGGCACTTACTCATCTAAATAAAAATCAAGTCAGACTAATAAATTAGCATTTGCTCCACAATGTACAATTTCTGTAATTTTAGCCTAAGGTCCTATTTCTTAGCGCATTTAATTATTTGTTAAAATTGGAGCCATATCAACTCAAAGATTACATTAAACACTTGTAGCAAGAAATAATCCATACAAAGCTTTTTGCTGGGCATAGTGGCACATGCCTGTAATCCCAGTACCTAAGAGACTGAGCAAAGAGAATCATTGTAGGTCCAAGGCCAGCCTGGGCTACATAGTGACTTCAAGTGCAATTTGAACCCTGTAGCAAAACCCTGCTTCAAAAAAACAAAACAAACGAAAAACAAAACAAATCCTTTTCATGCCTGTTGTTTCTTTTTTTTTTTTGTCTTTTTCATTTTTATCGGTACCGGGGATTGAACTCACGACCGCCTGCTTGCAAGGCAGGTGCTTATGCCGCTGAGCTAAACCCCCAGCCCCCTTGCCTGTTGTTTCTTAAGGACTCAAAAACATTAGCAATTATTGCTCTGCTAGTTGCTAGAAATTGAGATGATTAAGATAATTTCATACTTCAGAAATTCTACAATCTAATGGGACTAGCAGCAATACTGCCTACATAACTGGGTTCTTAGTCCATTTGGTACTGTTATAATGGTTATTTAGTTATTTTTCTTAATGCTGAGACAAAATACCCAACATCTAAAGTTAAAGTGCTGTAATTCCCCAAAAAGGTCCTTTAGATGAAAAATGGGGTAAAACCCCTGAGATGGAAAAGATGGGGCAGAACGACGTCGTTTTTAGGAAGAGGTGCTTTTATTTTAGCTGGCCCAGCGACACAGTGCAGATGGAATTTGCAAAGCTGTGCAACTGACTTAGAGTTTTGACTGATTTTTATAGTTCATTTATGATTAGCTCATTGATCTTTAAGTACATAGTGATGAGAAACAGAAATAAAGTGGGCCTTTGTTCCCCTTTGCTTGAGGTAAGAGGCATTTCACAGTGGGTGGCTAGCCAATTCATAGCCCTTGGTCTGCCAATTCAAGGAACATTTGTCTTTCATAAAGGGAACAATGGTTGACACAGCATCATTTGTCTCTTACAAGGGGAACAAAAGTTGACATAGCACACAGGTTACTAAGGTGAGGGGGGATGACACATTATAGAACAGCATAATGATGCGATCAGTTAATTTATAACTATGTGGTTGGTGCTTGGTTACTAGGGTAATGAGCTCAGTACAGAATGACAATATTGCTAATAACTATCTTTTTAAGTAACTATTTTTGTTAATTATCTTTTAATCAATTATTTTAATTTTTCAGCATCTTAATATAACAAAAGGAGGAAAGGTTTATTTTGCCTCACAATTTGTAGATGTTTCAGTCCATATTTAGCTGGTTCCAAGGCACAAGGCAATTGCAGAGGAAGAAATAGTCCAAGTCATCTCAGGACAGCAAAATGGCAGCAAACAAAACCTGCCTTTCCTTTTTATTCCTTCCATGCTTCCTGTCTTTTGGACAGGCAGGTTGGACCCTGCCATTATCCACAACCAGAACTATGCTAAATTAATCACTGGATTAATTTAGTGACAACCCATCCTTAACCCAGCACCACACCCTTCATCCTAATACCCCACATACCCTAGGTCTAGCCACTTTGGAAAAGTCCCACCTCTGATGCATGAAGCTTTAGAGAATCATCTAGATATAAGCCATTATAAATTACCTTGAGAGAGGGTAACTTATAAAGAACAGAAATTTATTTGTTACAGTTCTGGAGAGTAGAAAGTCCAAGGGCAAGGGACTGGCATCTAGTAGTGTGGCTCTTCTTCCTGGGCAATTTCATGACAGAAAGTGAAAGGGTAAAAAAGAAGGGAAAGAGGTAGGCAGAGGCAGGGAAAGAGGGGAAGAAGAAGGAGGAGGAAGGGAGAAAGAAGGAGAAGGAGAAGGAAAAGGACAAGAAGATAGAAAGCATAATTTTCCTAGGTCCCCACTCCAAGAAAGCTAACTCACTACTATGATACTATTAATCCATGCATGAGAACAGGGCTTTAAATCTATTCACTTCTTAAAGGTCCAACACTGTTGTGTTGGGAAATTAAGCTTCTAACATTCTAACACATAACATTTGCAAGTAATATTCAAGCTATGGTAGCACATGATGATAATAATATGAAATCACACAAGAAATTCAGGAAATATCCAGCGTAACAGAATATTTAGATAATGTCAAAGGAGTCCAAGATACCTCTAATCCTATCCATAATGGGAAAGATCTGGACATTTTTTTAAAGAGTGTCTCACCTATGTGTAGACTGATGGTAGGAGTTGGCTTCTTTCTTTAAAATAGGAAACAAGATGAAGAATTTGTCTTAAAAAGCATTTCCCACCATCCATTGAATTAATATAGCCTAAAATTGTTATTTTTATACTTATCTGTTATTTAAAACATTTTGTTTTCAAATTTAACTAAGACATCTACTAAATTATGTCTCACAGAGTTCCAAGTAATAATCCTAACACGTTAGTACAGCACTGGGTGTGTCTGTGGATGATTGGCATGCAAGCTGCTCACTGAGGAGAAAGATTGACCCCAGATTTCAGTGGCACTTGTCAATAGGCTAATAGCCTGGATACAATAAAAAGGGAAAGAAGGAAATCTTTTCTTTTTACTTCTTTAGAGAAGCCCTGGTCTTCACCATTGCCTGTGGATATTCATCTCCTGAGCCTTCAGGCTTTCAGCACAGACTCTTCATCCTTCCAATAAAGACTCTTGGACTTTCTGACATGGATTTGCACCAGACCCTGAAGTGAACTGCAGGCCTTCAACCTTTGACTGGATCCTCCAGTACTCCAATGTGCAGATGATTATTTTTGCATTCTTCTGCCTGATTCTTCAGACAGTCATTGTAAGGCTACCTAATTAATCCTTTATGTAAAATCTGTTCCTCTCTAGTTAATTCTAACTAACACAGATTTTGGTACCAGAAGTGGGGTTGTTGTTCTGAGCACTGGTGATATGATGCAGAAGCTTTTGGAACTGGTTTAAGGGAGAAGTTTATAAAGTTTTAGAGATATTGTCTAGAGATGTCCTAGAATGCTGTAAGCCATGCTTGATTGGTGATTCTGATCAGAATGCTGATGAAAAGAAAGATAGTAAAGACCAGGCTGAAGAAGTTTCTGTTGGGAATAAAGACTCTGTTGGCAGTTGAACTCCAAGCCATGTGTATTTTGCTCTGGCAGAAAATTTGTCTACATTAGCTAGTGTCCTGAGACTTTACTGCACACTGAGATTAA